GGAAAAGTTAATTTAATCAGTATAGTAAACCAAATTTTTTTAAATTTCACAAGAGGTGAGACTGTCCTCTGGTCAGATCACTCACAGTATAAGTATACACTATACTGTTGTTTTGATCAGGGAGCAGTGGAAACTTGGTGCTAGACCAAGATGAGAATTATTTTATATGGTCCTTTTCCAAGGGAAAACTGCAAAGTTTTTGTGTAGGAATTTCTCCTACGAAGCATACGGATACTTCAAAAGTATGTACACTATGTTTAAACTATGCACAATTGTTTTAAACTTTTTTTTGTGAATAGTTTTGTCTTTTCTTCATGTCATAAATTCCTACTTCATTTTAACTGCAAATATATAAAAGATAACCATCTTTTAAAACATCTTCATATGAGCTAAACAGTTTTTAACACTTCTACTTCCTAGAAAATTAAAGTACTTTTATTCATGACAGCCTTTTTCCTTGATACAGACTTTATTCCAGAATAGAAGACTTTTGAGGGGCTTTGGAATTTTTCATGAAATGGAAAGTTTGCATCCCAGTCAAAAGTGAGAGTTAAGGATTTGCTGTGCCTAGGGAATTCTGCGTATGTCAGTTTCCTGGGCATAAGTGGTCCATTTGGTTATTTGGTATTCTAATTTGCTGACATAATATAATGTCTTTTTACCTTAAATGGCTATGGTAAGAACAGGGGGGAGACACACAGAGATAACTCTACTTGTTAAACTACTGCAGGGGCACCACTGAGTGTGTTGGAATTGCACAAGGCAGTGGAACAGAGAGAAATCCAGTCCAGCTCTAAGGACCTGATGCCCAGAAAGAGGGGATGGAGCCATGTCAGTGCTCCATATGGGCTAATGCATGGATGCCTTGGCAGGGCTGATTAATCCAGGTGGAATTAATGTGGCCACCTCATTTCTGATGTTTGAACTAGCTCTGTGGACAGCCCACTGCACTCACTTCTCCTCAGATTTGTGTGAGCAGTCCAATAGTGCCTAAAGCAGCATTGCTAGGAACTGTCATAACAGGTTTCTTCTGCATTTTTAAGAACAGATGAGGAGGCCCCTTTATGCTCTGTAAGTCTATTAGTGAAAGTTGAAAGACTGTTTTGCAGCTGCTATGAAAGTATTTGTAGTGTTCTTGACTGTACAAAAAAAAAAAATTACTCTGCACCAAAAAAGAAAAAACAAAAACAAAAAAAAAAAAAACCAAACCCAACCTCTTGTTTTTATACTATTGTACTTTACCTGAGGAGAGCAATATTTGACAATGGTTGAGATCCTGAAATACAGATAATATCTTTCAATATGTACAGCCCCCAAATTAGTCCTGGCAGAGGAGCCTGCAATCTTAACTATATGCAATCCTTGGTGGATGAACAGCGCAGCAATCAGAAGACAAGGCTGGCACATACAACATCCTGCTTTGATGAAAATGTCTATTGCTGTGCTCTGTGCTAACTGCAATTTCCTAAAGACTGGAATTTTATGCTAGATAGATCACACTGTTAGAGTTCAGTTGGAAGGTTATAAAGTCCTGGGTTGCCAAGGCCACATCATCATTCAATTGCTTTGCCATCTGCTAATATCTCTGTGTCTATGACAAATACAGGTGAATTCCTAAATATAGTAATGATCTAAAAACTTGTGGTCATGTTTCCTCAATGAGAGAAGACTGAACCAGAACATTTTGGTAAAGAACATCGTAACTGTGAATAAGTTAAAAAAAAAAAATAATAACAGTGAATAATAACTGTGTGGCCTTATTTACAAAAGAATTCAAATAAAATATAAAAATATTGAAAATTTTATCCCAGAATTATTTTTCCTGCTGGCCTGCAATAGAATGTGGCATTTTAATATTGTGGAATAGTGATATAGCTGTCTTAAAAAGGGAGAATATAGACTGATACATATACTTGAAGGACTTGAACATTCAGGAAGAAAAGAACTGTTTCTTCTCACTAACCAAAGTAAGAGGAGAATTTGTCTGCTAATGGTTGTGAAAAGTGCAACTGGCTGTCTTAATTACCTTAGAATAGTCAATCTGAAGTTGTAGAAATCAGTCTCCATTTGACAGCACAATTAACTAATTGTCTTATAGCATACAATTCTGTTTTGTCCAGTACCTTCCTTGGAGTGGTGGGGATGCTCCCTGCATTCCTACCACTTGAGAATGGCTTCTTCAACTCCCTGCAGAGCCCCTGTCCTTGTGGTCAGGTATAGAGGGAGCCAAACATGGGAGAACTTTCCAAAGTGAGGGAATACAGTTCACTCTGGGAAAAGGGTTAACAGCATAGAGCAGCAAGACTGCTAGTAAAATCTCTTCCCCTGTCATCAGTTCCATTAATCATTTTGAGCCTTTCTGGAAGCCTGCTGAAGCTGACGGAAGCCCTCTTCATGAGCTCATTGTTGTTTGGACTGGTGTCACTAAATCACTTTCATGTCCTAAACTCTCCTTGGAAGAATTTTGATGCTGTTTTATCAGATTATCTGTTTAAATTTTATTGGAAAAAAATAGTGTGAATTTTGCTGTGTTCTGTAAACATCTTATAAGAAATGAAATGAAGAAGATTTATTTTTTTAGCAAAGGAAATATGGTTATGAACCAACTCAAAAGATCTTCTGAGGATTGTTTCTGTTGTTTTTTTTTAATATAATTTATAACATTTTAAAATTTGCTTTAAGTTTGATTCCCAAATTCACACTTAATTTCCTCTAAAAATTGCCATTATTCTTTGGTTATTCTTACATTGCAACATTATTCACTCTGTTTCTGGTTAGAAAAACTGGAATGAAATGATCTTTCAGAAAAGTGTACCTTTTTATGTTTCCAGTATTAACTAACCACTCAGGGTGTGATCTTTTTGAAATCAGAGGATTTTCTATTATACAGGAGTGGAAATATTTAGCTTCTTTCTCCCCTCTCAGAAAACAAACCGCATCCTGGAAAAAGAAATGTTTTACACAGAATTTATACATGATAAGAAATTCATTCCACAAGTGGAGTAAGACCTTTAAAAGACCTTTATCTACCTCACAGAATAAATCTGATATGCCTTACAAACCATTACGTGATCTCTTCCTCTCATTGCATGCAGATGCAACTCCCTCTCCTAAGAGCTAACACTGTAATTTCCATTCCAGTGATGAAATTGGGTGTGGAAGGGGAGAAGTTTATTCTAATGTACTTGTATATGATTACATACTGGATTGTAAAAATTTAACATTTAGCTTGCTTCTTCTAATAAGCTTTTCAAAGTGTAGTAAATCTGAGAATCTTAAAACATGTGTTTGCTCTGGAAGATCAGTCGACAGAGCTGGGCATCCTGCTGGTGGGGGTGCTGAGACTGTTTAAAGAGCCTGGTTGGTACTTGTAGAGCATATTACAAAAGAGCTATTCTTTAGAAAACTTTTGATTTGCACAGCTTGCAAACACAGGATCTTGAGATTGAGCTTTATCTGTGCAAACTGTTTCTCTAGAATTTCTTCTAGAAATTTTGTTAACAAAGTGTATCAGAGATGCTTGAAAGGCAAGACTATATTAGTAATATAAGATAAAAAAATCACACAGCCATCACCACAGCCTTTTTTTTTTTTTTTTTTTTTTTTTTTTTTTTTTTCTTTTTTTTTTTTTTTTTTTTTTTTTTTTTTTTTTTGCCATGTCTGAATGGGGCTTCTGGCACTTCTGACTAAGGGACATCTTGCCAGGTGCAGAAGGTTCAGCAGGGATGGCCCTCAACACATTACTGCTGGGCACCCCCAGAGAAATTACACTGGCAAGCACTGGTCAGGGCAGATACCAGTTTCATTTATTTCTGCACTGCTCCGAAGCAACCTTAAAGTGGCCTCTTCTTGGTTTATCACTCCTGTGTGGTGATGAAATACAATGTGATGCAGTACCCAGTAAGGCAAACTTATTACAGCAAAGAGATTCCATAACAAAATCTTTCAGTGGCCAACCACTCACACTGTAAAGCCCCTGTGGAGTTTTCTGATAATACAAATCAGCTATAGCAGAGCAGACACTGCTGTCCATGGAGTTCCTACCCAGAGTATCTGCAGCATTTTGCCTCCCTGGCTCTGCTTAAGTAGACAATGTATGTGGTGGAAACCAGTTTTGTGAACATAGAGAGTGAAGCTTACAATTTTTTGGAGTTCAAATGTGCATTCACACAAAGAAAAGAAATTACACAGACAATTTCAAAGTTTTAATTTTTCTAAAATTATGTGTATTGCTTGTAAGAAAACTTGACAAACAACAGCACATTTAATATCATGGAGGCAATTCCCACAGCTTATTTTTCTGTATTTCTAGGTCAAAATTGTATTTACAAATTTTGTAAAACCAATAAGGAAGAAAAATAAAGCATTTTGTCAGATACTTGTATAATAAAAAATTCTTCCTATGTTTTTTAATGAATAAAGATGACATTTTGATGATTTCAATGGAGGGCTTTGAGGCCACCTTTATTTCAACTTTATTTACATTTATTTATTTTGGTGGTGTTTTTAAATGTTGTATCAAAAAACCCTTCATGTTACTTTTAGAAATTTGTGAGTTAAAGGACAATGAAATACTTCTGAAGCTGGACAGTAGTAATTAAGATACATAAAAAAAGTTTGGGAAAGGTTCACAGCACTTCAAAGGTTAAATAATGACCTTCTTTATCTAAAACAAAATTATCCTATTTTGCTAAAGATATAAAGATAAAACATGTGGCATAGGAAAAGATGTGTTACCAGGGAACTGTAGTAGAGGTCTGGTAGAATCTAATTCCACTAATTTCTGCCCTGTGGCAGTGAAGGGAGTTAGAGTGGGTTTGGAGATGTCCTGAGTTCTATTAGGGCAAATTAAAAAAACCCAGAATCCTGCAACTTTCTCTGCATTTCCCTATTTTTCACTGTGTTCTAGAGAAAGTAAGAGATAGTGAAAGGTGGGGTTCAAAATGATAGTGGGAACAACCCAAACTTTATCATTAGGACAACAGTGAAAACAGACTTACTTGATTTGCCTGGCAGAACTTGTCCAAACACCTCCCAAAACAATGACTGCAAGCTGCTTTTTATGTGGACTCTGTTGAAGCAGAGACAAGAGAAAGACAGATGGATACAAATAAAGCAAATCAATATTTCAGGATTTTCAATGTGAGTATCCTAAATCAGTTCCCCAATATCAGAAGTAAAAGAATACAACCCCTTATCAGAGTCAATGAGATGTAGCAGCAGATTGTTTTCCAAACTAGAGTGGCTTTTGGGCTCTTTTCATGAATTTATATCCCATTATAAATGCAGATGCTGTGAATTTTCTTCCTGGTTTCTATTGGTACATAACTTGAATGCATATATTTGAGAAATTCCCTTTTCTCAAGGAAAGGAAACAAGCCTGTTGCTTTTCTCTTCTACCAAGCAGATCAATAGATACACTGAATAAAGCTTGTGTGAAAAGAGAATCAGCCCTGATTTTCAACAATACTTATAGCTATAGACACACTAGCTGCAGGAAATCTGCCTCTTTGACTCCTCAATTCTAGTCTCTAATACACTCTCTCTGATGGCACCATGACAATTTTCTGAAGTAGATCCCTGAGACCTTGGGTCATTAGGTTTACTTTACTTTGTATGGTTTGTCTCAAATGTGAATTCAGGTTGTTTCTCAGGTGTACTACCTACTCCTCCAGAGGAGCAGTAAGCTACCATCACAGCTGAAACACTTCCCACCCCAGCGAAGCTTACTGAAAAATGTTCCCCTGACATGTATCACCTATTTAAGCAGTCAGGGAATGTTGTGAGGAACAATCTTTCTTAGATTATTTCTGTTTAGGAAAAAAAAAAGATAAAGCATTTTTTCCTTGTGCTATTTCCAATTGGAAATACCATAAGGAATCATGATTCTTATTATATTTCCTATTTGTCTAAGTGTATTGCCATGCCAAAGGAACAGCTGAATCAAAAGGCAGGCAATAACCCAGAGTTTTGATGCAAGCAAATTGCAAGTAAGAGCAAATTACTAATCTCCTTTATTCTTTTTCTTTTTTCTTTCCCCCTCGAAATTGTTGAAAAGTTTTGATGCAAAATGAAAACAGAATTATGGCTTAGGAGCCTCTAGAAAGCCTTATTCATCTTTTCTGACAACAATCTGCTAACTAAATTACATAAATATGAACACTTTATACTTTTTAACATAGTTCACTGCAATGGAAAACCCAGACTCTGATTGATGATACCTTGCCCTGTCCTGGTGTATTTGCTGTAAGACTCAGTATGATGCTATGTTATTTCACTTTTTCTTTATTCTTGTCTTAATAAAAAACTGCTTCCTCATCTAACCAGTGTGAGAAGGGCAAAGCTCTTCTATCATGCACCAAAGTATAAACTCTTCTTCAAGCAACATCTTACCCCAGGGCATGGAAGGGAAAGGGAGCATCTCTTGGCTCCCTGATGTTGCCCATGACGGATACAGCCTGGGCTCCCTCCTCATCTAGACATGACTGGCAAAATCAGAGACAAACATCTCTACAGGAAAAGTGGTACTTCTGTGTGTGGACAGTATCAATGTGTTCTTCTTGGCACAGTGCCTCATCAGGGTTATCACATTGTCTGGCAGTCAAAATGCCAAATGAACACACAGCCATGAATTCAGGAAGCTGACATTACATGCAATATGGATGCTCTAATGTTTTGGGGTTTTTTCCCCAAGAAATGATTTCCAACTAAAAATGTCAAATTTGCTGTCGTTTCTGAGTCTATCTCTGGTTAGAGGGAGATACACCTTTTTCACTCCAAGTAATTTCTGAATCAACTTCAAAAATCAAAGAAAAACTCTTCCGCGGCCACATAAAGGAGATTTTGAGTTTTCCATAATCAGGATTTGTTTTGGGGACTGGTGGTGGGCAGAGGGGGAAGAATGTTTTCCTTTATGAAGGTCATGAAATATGTCTTTAATATTAAAGATGTTTGTTGCTTGTAAAACTTGTAAAGGACAATTTTTCCATTTTCTCTTTCTCACATTTCCTAGTGATGAAAAGAAAAAGGTTCTTAAATAGGTATTTTCTTAGCCACATTTTATTTTCAGTAGTTAGACAGTAATTTATTTTTTTTTTTACCAAGATGATTTATCTGGACAGTATTTTAAAATTTATAACATTTTCCTGGATAAAGATCGTGCTTGAAAAAGCCAGTTTTACAAAACAATGGGTACCTAACAAAAGGAGAAACTGAGGCAGAGGGCAATATAAGATTTGTAATTAATTCATCTCAGTGACAAAATCTTAAATTCTTTCTGACTTAATCAGGGTTCAGACATGAATTTGTTACAGAGAAACCAACATATAGCAAATTTCTCTGTTGTCTACTTTGAATAATTTTTTTAGAAAATCCTGAATGATAAAATTCCAAGAATAATTACTATTGTAATAACAGTGTCTCCAAGTTTTACAATAGTAGAGCCCTGAGTACTTGGTCTCCTTTAGGTATTCTTATAGTTAAAAACAATGTGTATACCAATAATCCTTTGTATTACATTTTAGGATTCTGGTATGGAAAAAAAAAATCTAAGAAAAAAGCAAAAGTAATTTGTCACTTAGTAATTCATGTGGAAAGAGACCTAGCCTACAAGAGGACATTATTGTCAGCTGAATGAAAGAGATTAAATTGATAAGAAAGAATAGAGGTCTGCTTCCTTCATTGTCTTGGAAAATATATTTGTTAGGCAGCTTTCCAACACAGAAAAGAGAATAAGATACTTTCTAGGACAGGAAGATTAGTAGTTGGAATACCAGTCTTTCATGATAAACAAACCACATTTTTTTACCCTTTTAGGATCTGCGAATCACTCTCCAATTATACATTCCTTTTATGAAGATGTGAACATGACTGCAATGGCAACTTAAAGAAGACCTAAACTTTAACATAAGGCTTTTCATTTAGTTGCTTTAATATCTGTTAACCACACTCATGTTTTAGTGGTAGATGCTTAGCTCTCATTCAGTGACAAATGTGATTTCTTAGGCAGTCTCATATTTCTGTGACAAGTTATTGGTAATATTATGCTCCATATAAAAACATTATGTAAGCAGCTACTTGTAGAGTTCTGTTTGCACTGTATATCCCCTCATGATGGTTTGTCCCTCCATATCCCCTCTTTGTACCTGTTTGGCCCATCCCAGCTTTCCCATCAGTACCTGTGTGTCCATCAAACCCCAACCCATCCCCCTGTGTCCTCCCAGGGGATGTGTCCATCACCTGGTGACCCTTCCCCTTTGTCCAGATCCTTCTCCCAGGGTCACCAGGTAACTGGACCCTGGCTGGGACTCCTCCCCAACCCCTTCCTCAGGGGTCACTCTGAGGCCTTGCCCCCAGAGAGCCGCTCCCATGTCCTTCCCCATTGCCTGCTCGGGTTTCCTGACCCCTATATCGGCTGCTCTGGGTGGGGCTCTCTCTCTTCCTCATGATGCCCTTCGAGGTCAGATGTGGCCTGGGATCTCTCCAGGCCCCCATTAAACTTTGGAACTAATCCTGAGGGAGAGCGCCTCTTTCCTTTGCTTGTGGGACCAGCTCATCTTTGGACTCACGAGGGAGCTTCTCCAAGTCCCCTGGGATCCAAGGAGAAATTCCTTCCCTCTGCCCAACTCGCCCCACTGCCCAGCTGGCCGGGCTCCACAGGGGATCTGTTCCCATGGATTCGAGGGGGACACGCAGCAGCTACTGCTGAGGATATGACTTTAATTGGTTAAAGGAGATGAGCTCAATTCCTTGATCAAAAACTCTAAGCATCGTCTAGTCAATGGGCTTTCAAATACATAAGGGACAGCAGTATATGAAAGCAGTTTTCCATCCAGACCTTAGTATAAAAGAAATACTTGGTTAACAAAAAATATATACAGGGAGAAAGGATCACAATTAAACAAGCTATTGTTTCTTCAAATAAATAGTTTAATTGAAAAGGCCATTATCAGTTAAATAACTTTGTGATAATATGACAGTGGGTCATATATCACAGACTTTTCTCCAGTTTAAATGCTTGAACAAAGGCCAAATCTTTCTATTGATTGTAATGGGCTTCAAATAAGGTCTCATATATTGAAACAATGCATTTTATGCACTTTGAAGGCCCTTCATGCGGGCCTTCAAAGGCCTGCTAGTAAGTTATGCAACTGGTAAGTAAATAAAATGTACAGTATCAGTTTGTTTCAAATTCATAAAAGCAGTTAATATACCATTTCCTTGTAGTTGTAGGAAACAGTAGTACAATTCTGCTTTCTAAGTAATTAGAATGGACAAAATGATGTTTGTTATGAAGGAGCACACCTACTTATACTAGCATACTTCCTCCACATTCTTTATGCCATTGTGGAAAAAAAAATATTATCAAAGATATTCCAAAGGATTCTTGTAGACAATAAGGTTTCTATTCCACATATCTTGTACTACTAGAATAAACCTAGCCTAAGTGGTGATGATATCAAAATAATTACAGTCACTTGCTTGATGTGTGAGACAATATTAATTAGGGTGTTGACCATTAAAAGTCTGCCAGTAGGGACAACAGAACTCTTTCCAGAAAACAAAAACAAAAGCGATAACAACCTGCTGTTTCAGAAAGCTAGCCAAATACAGAGAGTAGGATCTTCCTGATGTATATCTTGGCCAAAATTCCTTCCTCTCCGTGACTTAGGGATACTCTGTATAGCATAAATCAGCACAAAATTAGTATTATTGGAATTCACTCATTTAATAATTGAGAATTGAGTTTTAACATGATGACCAATGACTAATGCATATCTCTGCATGCTACTACATACCTAAGCAACTTTATTTAATCAGTATGACTGAAACAATTAGGTATAAATTAGTCAAGAATATTTTAAGCTGGAAAACAGAACTTTCCTCTTGAACAAAAACATGAATCATCTATGAAGATTATTAGGGGACAGAAGCATGTCTCTTATGGGAAAAGGCTGAGAGAGCTGAGCCTTTTCAGCATCTAGAAGAGAACACAGAGAGTAGATCTCATCAATGCACACAAGTACCTGCAAGGTGGTGTCAAGAGAATGGGCCAGTCTCCTTTCGGTGGCATCCAGCAACAGGGCAAATGGCAATAGTCACAAACTGAAAAACAGGAAGTTCCATAAAAATGTGAGGGAAAACTTCTTTCCTTTGAAGGAGAAAGAAGAGTGTAAAAGACTGCTCAGAGTTGTTGTGAAGCTTCTTTCTCTGGAGATACTTGAAACACACCTGAATATGATCCAGTGCAACCTGTTCTAGGTGAACCTGCTTTAGCAGAGGGGTTTGGCTACATGATCTCCAGAGCCCTCTTTCAACCCTAAATATTTAATGATTCTCTGAATATTAGAAGAAGTCACAATGGCAGGAAATCTTAGAGATTCCTTAGTTTCATACAATTGTTGAAGAAATTACTAGGCCAGGCTGAGTGCAACTGGAGTGCATTATATTTATGGCTCCAGACACTTTTCCTTATTGGGTTAGCAGTGTCAGTTTGAAGCAGTCACACCCTGAACTCTGCACTTTGCTCATCTTCCTAGCAGTGAGAAATGTTTACTCCACACCACCACCCCCTGTATTTGCTTATACTACCTTGCATATATATCTCCAGTAATCCTTTGAGAAAGAACCAAAGTGCTCTAATGTGCTTTTTCTGTCATGCTGATATAAAGAGTGATCTTCAACAGACCCCAGGTGAGCATAACTCGAGGCCCTTCAAATCCTGTGGTACAAGGGAAAGCTCCAGGTGATGGATATCGCAGTGGAGAGGGTCTATGTGTCTTCTCATCTATTCATGTAAATTTTGTGTTGCTGCTCTATCAAATGTGCATCAATGGAGTTTAGTATGTTAACATGACAAAAACTATCCTGCAAACTGCAGGAGTCATGTCCTGGTGACACCAACTGCCCCAGCAGTTTTGTTCCTGGCTGCTGCTGAAATATATGCTTATCAAAGCTAACCAAGTTTCTCCCTCTGAGTGTCTCTGTGGTGCAACATCAGGATGACCAGGGCCTGCAAGGACTTCCAGCCATCCCTGAGACCCCCAGTAATGCCTCACATGTGCAAGGAGCTCTTTCACACTCAGTCGACAGCTCTAGTGCACCAGACTTGTTGCATATGCTACATTTTTGTTAATTGTGTTAATTTTACAGATACTCTTAGTAGGAATACAAGGATCTATAGTCCTCTGAAGCTGTAAGTGACTCTGTCCTTTGTGGTGAAGCTTTCTTGACTTAATTTTAAAGACATAAAGGGCTGATGTCCATATCTGAATAAGGGTTCTCAGGATTTATTTATAGATAATGGAGAGGAATGGGCACTTCTGGAGTACAATTCATCTGACCAATTTTACACACTGCTGAAACTTATCCTGAGTGTTTCACATACGTGAACTAAAAGGAATGGGGTTTTAAATATTGAGATGGCCCCTGCCTCTTCCAGTGACAGCACACAGGGCATTGCAACAGCTATCTGGCTCATGGTTAATGACTTGTTGGATGGGATGCCAAGGAGAACATTTTCCATCCAATTATTTGTTTGTTAAGCTCAAAAAACCTCAGAGGCTGTTGTTTGGTTTCCACTTTTTTTCCCAGCAATCTTTTCTTTTAAACCTGTTTGGAGAATGGAAAGAATACACAAAGTAAGTGTACTGGTAGTAGCCGTTGGTAGTAGACTTGCAGCATGTTTTGCAAGTTAGTTTTTGAGTAAATGGAGACACATTAAAGTTAAGAGTTAATCTTCAAAAGGCACCGCTGGAACACTGAATTATGAGTGTTCAACAACAGGTAGTTCAAGATGCAGTCAAAAATGGAGGCAATCTGACTTGGAAATAGCTTTTTAAAATGGGTTCAACCTCTATATGCTGCTTTTTTTTTTTTTTTTTTTTTTTTTTTTTTTTTTTAATGTACAGAACAATACTTACCTCACGTGAAGTAAATTATATTCTTGCCAAAATACAATAGGTTTGTGGCAAAGATGGGGATAAAATCATGGACTGAAAATTTTTGCTAAACAGTAGCTGCACTCCCCTTTTTTCTAACCTTAAGCTTTGACTTTAACTATTGTTATTTTGGAATTTACTGTAGTTTTTCTCTACCATTAGAGAGCAGAATATTTCAAAAATACCTTTTATTCAAATAAAATTGACTTTTAAAAGGAACTTAAAGGAATTTAAGCTTGCTCATATGGTTTGTTTCTTTTTGTTTCTGTCTTTCATTCTTGTTTCAACACATTTCTAGCCATGCTGATTTGAAAGAAGCAGATACAGGTCTCTTGACTTCTTTTAAGGTACTCATTTACCAACATATAAAAATACCACTTGGATAGGAGAATACCTAGCTCTGATTCAGCTTTTATAGCTTTTGTGTGTATCTCTTTGATTGGACTTTGTTGACATGCTGCGGCATGATTTCCTAACGGGGACATAAGAAAGGATTCTGTACTAAATTTCATTGCCTACTCTGTTACTAACGTGACAGGAGACCTTGGGTAATTCCCATGAGTTCTCTTGCTAGTCTTTCTGTATCTTTTCTATCTTGTTTAGTAAGCCTGTAATTCTGCAGAAACACATAACCACAAGTAGTTTATTCATTGAGTAATTATATTTTTAAAATTGACAGTTTGGGCGGGTATTTTTGTAGGGCATAAATGGGTGCTTCATAAGGGTTTATGTGGAGTATAGAGCAGTAGGAGCCTAATCTTGGCAGGAGAACTTACACACTTTCATCATCCTGATATTAAACAATTTTCAATAGGCATAAATTGCTATAAACTGGACAGAATTACACTGATTTTCTATTACCTTATGTACCAAAGTGGACATCCTATTCTGCAGTAAGGCATGTCAGCATAAAGTTTTCATATTAGTTGCATTTATCCATATTTTCACTGCTGAAAATGATGCAAGCTCCTAAATATCCTTGCTGGGTTTTTTAAATTTCAGCATTCCCATTGCATTTCTTCACCTTCCATTTTTTCCTCTTCAAAATATGCTTTGTCCTGCCTCTATGGGAACACCTCACTTGCAGATGTACAGGTGTTACGTCACCTCTTATGTAGAATTATGCTGCTACTATCACTGAAGAACCTAAGCAAGAATGTTTTGTCGTGACTCAAAAGTGTATGTTTACTGTATATTGTGCAAAATATAATCCCCTTCCAGTATAAATTCTGTATCATTGTAAATTCTGACTCTCATTACAGATTTTTTTTAAGCCTGGTTCTAGGAATAAGCAAGTATGCAGTTACCCATGGCAGCATGGTTGTAATACAAAAAGAGATAAAGCTCCGTTGTCTTTGCTCAACTCTGAAGCCACTCTCTCTGTCGCCTTCATGGGGAATGGGACCTGAGAGATGACAAATGCTCACTTTGAGTAGTCTTTTCCAGTAGTAGATGTTGTCTTTTCTGCCATTTCTATTCCTTCTGCAGTCATATGAGAAACACAGGGAGCTCTCTGGGGTGTGTTCTGGTGTTACATCTTAGCTGTCTCTTGCTGTACCAAGTTCAAACTATGTGGTCTCAGCTCAGACTAAGTCACAGACATCCTAAGGACTAGCTTCAAAATTAAGATTATGTACTCTACTGAGAAGTTCTGAGATTAATGTTTGAAAGTAACTGGGATTTTTTTTGTTACATTAGTTACATACTGACAATATATTGACTCTTCAACAAATAAAAATGACAAAACTAAGAAAGAAGAAGCTCTATGAAACTTTCTTGTGGTGTTCAAATGAAGTTCAATACAGAGAAAATAAAAAGCTATTTAAAAGATCATAACTTTAAAAACTCTAGTAAAATGACATTAAATTACCCATTTTTGATATATACAAGCATTATTTTAAATATCAGTATATACAAGAACTCACTGATTGGTTCTAACTCTAAATTCCTGAATTTTATGTCTTCGTTTTTTTCCAGTATTATTATTTTGGAAGTTCTCTTACTTACCCTTCCATACATTTATGAAGTGAGGACTGATGCTAATAAAAGTCGCATATGCTATGTGCAGATTAGAACTCAGTTATCTAAAGACCTCAATTTGAACGTGAAATGCAGTGAGAGCAAATATGGGATATATTAGGGATTCTGAGACTTTGCAAAAAGTAAGAATATGGTATTGGGATTTTGTTAACAGATAGGCAAATCTTGCTATCACACAGTGGTGTCAGGATGATATTGTTGTGAACTGGGAACACAGTAGGATTTTCATCCAGGTTGTCAGAGGAGGGTGGGGGAAGGGTTGGTCCCTGTGGTATACATTCATTTATTGACTACAGTCACAGTTATTTGCTTCAGCCAGCATGATCTGAAATGCATGTACAAAAGCATATAGGTATTGAAATTTTCAACTCAAATCAGAATCCTAATTAACTGTAAATCGTAAAGCCAGTAGCCTGAGGTATATTAAAATGAGAACTTTGTACATGAAAGGCTGCACATGCCCCAAAATCTACGTATTTCCTACTTATAAACCACCAAATTCACTGCATCAGCTTCCATGACTGTAATTCTGTTCCTGAGGGATATACAAGTAGAGTTAACTGAAAACAAATATGAGTGTGCAACTCATAGAACAAGTCATTTTATGGAGACATTAAAAATCACTGACATAAGGAAAGACAACATAAAATATTTGTACTTAAGGTAAGAATAGGACATTAAAGCCAGAAGTTAACTTAGTCCATTGTACTTCATCAAATGCCTCTTTAATCTCTAAATGTGTGTGATTATAAAGACATTAATTTCAAGGGGAAAACCACATCAGTAAAGCACTGCTGAAACACCTGGCACAATTGAATTTCACGCAGCACCAAACGTGAAGGCAAAGAGATGAAGTTACGAAACACATTGAACAGAACTGACACAGAGGACACTGTTCTATCAGATACATAAAACGTTCTGGTTATAAAGACCCAGTCCTCCTTAGGGCAACAGGGGTTATGTTGCCTTTAATAGGAGCAGAATCAAGCTGTAAAGGGCTGTTTGGTTGCTCCTTTGCTGTTCAGGAGCAAACAAGAAAACAGAAGTTGCAGAGCCCTTGAGCCTGAGGACCCTCTGCTCTGTATCATTATTACCATTTCATGGGGCCAAGTTATCCTGTGATCCTGGTTTTATTAACAGCTGGATCCTTCCCCTTGGCACATGCTGAGGCCAGGGTTTGAATACAAGCTAAGGTGTTCCCTCAGCTACTCCTTCAC